GTGGGGACAACCATAGTCACGAAAACTTCAAGTCTAGAAAGATAGAGCAATGGTTCTCACTTTAATTTTATTTGCTGTTAACACTCTATGAAACGACTAAAACCCGCCATCTGATATTTTAACGGTTTCTGAATGATACTAGGCACAAACATATTTATGGGGTACTTAAACATCGAGATTTTGGGGCCTTAAACTAAAAAATGTCTGATTTTCAGATGTGTCCTGTTGTGTCTTCAAAGCTACCTGTGTCGCAAATTTCAGCTTTCTACCATGTCGGGAAGTATCCTCGAGGTTTTTGAGACATACATCATAGAGATGAATGTATTTATATTCACATAGATTGTTTTGTTTACGTGCAAAAGCAGATGTAATAAGGGGATGTTATTGCCTGCTTGTCTATTTGTTTTGTTATGTTTGCACGGCCCGTGGCCACAGGAAGAGGGCCTCCAAACAGTCAGCAGCCACTGTAGCAAGTAGGAGTAGTAGTGGGAGGGCTTTTGCGACCAATATTATCCATAATAAATCTTTATTTTGGGTTATATTGTGTCAATGTGTGTCTTTAAACCCACCACCACCCCGACACAGCCAATTGGTTCGGTTCATTAGGGTGAACAAAACGTGTCAATTAAGTTACTACTTCATCACACCGCGACCTTTCGCTGGGTGATTACAACCAGCTTCATCAGGCGATTAGCCAGCAGCCACTGTAGCTGCTGCGACTGTCCAGACACACCCCAGGAATATTTTACAACGATAATGATAATGGTCATCATCATGATACAATGATAATGAACATCATAATGATGCAGTGACAATGATCATCATCATGATACAATGATAATGATCATCATTGATACAATAATAATGATCATCATGAAACAATTGTAGTGGCATAGCGCTGGCTGCTGGCAGAAAATGGTAACTGTGGTGTTTGGCAGTACCCACGTCAGCAGGCCACGATAGACACGAGAGGGGGACATCTTGTGGAACAGTAACAGAGAGGGGCCCATCCGTAAGCCTCGGGAACCCGCTAGTAGGTTCCGGAGAGGGGGCGTGGCCGGGGCGGAGCGAGGCCACGCTGAGAGAAGTTGAGGGGCCCCTGTGTGGGACCTCGTGGCTGTTGCTGGAAGTGGGATCCCCGTCGTGCTGTTCAAGATCGTCGTTATCATCTCGTCGCCATCGTCGCTGCCGTCTTCACTCGATATTGCGCTGCTAGATAGTTGTTGGCTGTCTCCGTTCAGCGCCGTCAGTGTTAGACGGTTAGTGTTGTGCGTAGGCTAGCAACAGTGATAGTGTGTACCCACGTGGTGTTGTGTATAGGCTAACAACAGTAATAGTGTGTACCCACGTGGTGTGTGTATAGGCTAGCAACAGTAATAGTGTGTACTCACGTAGTGTGTATAGGCTAGCAACAGTAATAGTGTGTACCCACGTGGTGTGTGTATAGGCTAGCAACAGTAATAGTGTGTTCATAATAAAGGTTTTTGGGTTAGATCGCGTTATGTATAAATGTGTCGTAATCCTCCACCACCAGACACGGCCAATCAGCAAAAAAAGGTGTCACGTTGACAAAAGACAAATAGTTCACTACTTTAGCCCACCGGTGTATTGAAGAGTGAATCCACAACATTTACAGTTTGAGTACGACGTTTCGCTGGTAATTACATCCAGCATCATCGGGCAATTCGCCAGAATGGTAAAGCCCTCACTTGCTTCCGGTCTTAAATAGAGCAGCAGGGTGACGTCATCATTTAACTCATTTCAGGTGCAGTCATTTGAGGTGGAGGGGGGGTATTGTAATTATATAATCGATTAGTAATCAGTCAATGGTTATGATTAGTAATGAGTTGTAGATTAGTAATTAGTTGTAATGTGTGTTAGTGATTATATGCTATGTTAGTAATCCGTTAATTAGTATGTGTTTCCCCTATAAGGAATTGTAATGTGTATTATTTAATAATACGCTTCCAGGCCGCACTAAGCCTGTAGCTGTCAGAGCGATTAAAGTTATTTTTATTCCTCTCAATTTCAATGGATTTTCTAATTAGTCTTTGCCAGTAATAATTCGTTTTTCACAACACTTCAACGTTATCAAAATCAATTGAGTGTCCTTGTTGACAAGCATGTTCTGCCACTGCCGACAGTTGTGTTTGAGATAATTTAATATTTCTTTGATGTTCTTTTAGTCTTACGCTGATGTTACGTCCCGTCTGTCCAATATAGCATCTGCCACATAAACAATTAATCCGATATACACCTTCTGTTGATAATTTAGGTAATGTGTCTTTAGTGCAAGATACTAGTTTTTGAATTTTGTGTACTGTACCAAATCTTACTGTAATGTTTTGCTTTTGCAAAACACGGGCTAATTTGTCAGTTACTCCTGAGATATATGGAATTTTTATTGTTTTAACAATCTGATTGCTTTCAGCAGTATTGCTTTGCGATTGTGATTTGGCATTCAGTGCTCTGTCAATTTGAGCATTATTGTAGCCATTCTGTCGTAGTGCGTCTTTAACGTGTTTGATCTCTCTCACTAGACTTTCACCATCTGACACTGTTTTAGCCCGATGTATGAGCGTCTTGATAAGAGAGGATTTCTGAGCTGGATGATGATGTGAATCTGCATTCAGATAGGCATCAGAAATGATTTTGTTGCTTTGTATGACGAGGCTGATGATGGGATCTCTTTTTATTTTTGTATAGCTGCCATCCTTGAGTAATTCTTGAATTTTGTTGTTATATTCTATTTTATCCATGATGACAGTGGCATTGCCCTTGTTGGCTGAGAGGATGACAATGTCATCCCACTTTTTTAATTTATATAATTCAAAACGCTCATCTTTGCTGAGGTTGCTAGCTGGCATCTTAGCGTTTTTGAGGGTTGCAGCGATTTCAGATCTTGCTACGTCTGCAGCGATGCGACCCAGGCCCTTGAGAGCCACGTCTACTTGGGCAATTATATCATTAACTGGTATGTGTTTAGGTGTGACTGCAAAGTTTAGCCCTTTAGCTAAAACGGATTTCAGACCATCGGAAATAGAACTGTTACTGCGATTAATTACGACTTTGATAACGTCTAGCTTTTTGGTGTGTGGGTCCGGTCTTTTGTTGGAGAGGAGGTTAAATTTGGAAATCAGGTTGTCCTTACATTTGGTCGACATAGTGGCAGCTGAAGAGGCAGTCATATTGTCTACATGTTCCCAATCCGATGTGGACATTGTTGCCGTCAATGATAAATGTGATTTGTAGAGTGTCTTGTCTAACTGATCTAGGTGGGTGCGTAGAAGTCTGATTTTCTCTGAGAAAAGAGCTAAGCTAGTTCTGGAAAGAATTTGTTTCGCATTAGAAGAAGTTACAGCAGCAGAGGTCAGTGTAAATGCGATTGGTATTACCCCAGAGTCGCGGCATCTCTCCAGAAAGGAGAGAGACTCGATCAGCTGAGCCTTCTTATCCCCGGAGTTTGATTAAACACAAGATCCAGGTCCGATTCAACACATTACATAAAATCCGTGATCTGGTTCCGTCTGTAAAAGATGTGATTCCGGACATACAGTACCCTGGCGTCTGCAAACTAAGTTGCCTCTGTGGTAGTAGATACATTGGAGAAACCAAACGACATGTTTCGGACTGCATCCGTGAACACAAAGCAGACCTAAAACACGGTAGGACCAACACCTCGGCCGTGGCAGATCACTGTTATAATTCAGTAGGCTCACATGGCATTGACTTCTCCAAGACAGAGGTTCTCTGCAAGCCATCTGGCTACCATTCGTTCATGAGGCTATCCACATATACAAACAGAGACAATTTCAACCGAGAAGATGGATTCTGGCTTAGCAATCATTGGAAGGATTTGATAAACCATTTCTGGTCTTGATTGTTCACGGTTATGGTGGCTTTCAGACCGCATCCATTATTTTCGTCTCCTCTCTCCTCTTTTCCGAACATAGATGGACTCGTCCATCTGGATAACTGCCAAATCGCTCTCGGTGGTGCTAACGTTAAAAAAACGCCATTTTTTTCAAATGTTCTTGATCATCATCGTGATACAATGATAATGATCATCATGGTGATACAATGATAATGATCATCATGATACAATGATAATGATCATCATGATACAATGATAATGATCATCATGGTGATACAATGATGATGATCATCATCATGTTACAATGATAATGATCATCATGGTGATACAATGATGATGATCATCATCATGTTACAATGATAATGATCTTCATGGTGATACAATGATAATGATCATCATCATGATACAATGATAATGAGCATCATGGTGATACAATCATGATCATCATCGTGATACAATGATAATGATCATCATCGTGATACAATGATAATGATCATCATCGTGATACAATGATAATGATGATCATGGTGATACAATGATAATGATGATCATCATGATACAATGACAATGATCATCATCGTGATACAATGATAATGATGATCATGGTGATACAATGATAATGATGATCATCATGATACAATGATAATGAGCATCATGGTGATACAATGATAATGATCATCATGGTGATACAATGATAATGATCATCATCATGTTACAATGATAATGATCATCATCGTGATACAATGATAATGATCATCATCGTGATACAATAATGATCATCATGGTGATACAATGATAATGATCATCATGATACAATGATAATGATCATCATGATACAATGATGATCATTATGATACAATGATCATCGTGATACAATGATAATGATCATCATCGTGATACAATGATAATGATCATCATCGTGATAATACGTTGGAGATGACCACAAGATTTATGGACACGGACAAGTAGAGGCAGAATCGGAATCTTGATTTATCTTGTAGAAATCTGACAATGCAATTCCCCATAGTTATTTACAGCAACAATTGAAGATGTCCCCCCCCCCCGCCTCAAGACTGGTCTGGAGGAAACAGAGATTACAGTATTTGTATAAAGGGAGAAATATTACTTTTTTGGACGTGTGGGTTTGAGGTGGACTTTTGTTTCGATCGGCCGAAATGTTGGGTAGGGTTGTGGACTTGGGTAGAGGCGGACATGTTGGGTAGGGGCCGAGATGTTGGGTAGGGTTGTTGACATTGGTAGGGTGCGGACATGTTGGGTAGGGGCGGACATGGATAGGGGGAGGACATTTTGGTTAGGGAAGTTGATATGGGCAAGTAGGCAGACATATTTGTTAGGGACAAAACGGGGAGGAGCCAGATAAGTGGATTGGGAGGTGAAATATTATGGGTCCAGAGGCGAACGTAAATAGGGACAGACGTAACAGAAGCAGTACGAATATAGATGAATCGGCGAATGTCATGCGAATTCGCTTGTGATGGTATTTGTGTCACGACATGAATGCAAGCTGATATTTCATGCACTCCCGATTTTGTGTTTGTTTTGCTGTTGAAGAATGCGGGACTCGTTGAGCGACTGTCTTGTGCTTTGCTTCGGTCCAGCACCACGGCCTGGCACTTGAGTCAACCGAAACGCAAGAAACCCAAAAAGCAGCACCCCCCAAAGTCATCCTCACGGGAACCGTGCCCGGCTGATGTCACGAAAAGGAATGCGCATTACGTCATCCCTCGTCGCTGATTGGCTCGCGGTGTGCGGGCGATACCAACTAAGCTTTAATCGTGGGGTGGAGTACGGGCGGGTCAGGTGAAACGGTTAAACACGTGGAGGAAGTGGAGAAGCTGGACACATCCCGTCAGATTCTTGGGTCTTTCAGTAAAGTCACGTGGATAGGTTCAAATAAAATAACAGAACACTACGCCGTTTTGATGGCAACACAAGCGGTCGTCTTCAGGAAAAGAGACTTTACCGAAAGAACCAAGAATATAAAATTATGTTTATAAGGGGTTTGAAATGGGCGTAGCCCAAATGTCAGCAGCCAATGATAATGCGAGTGGTGGGCAGCCCAACCCGACGGTGGTTGGGTTTCCACCAATCAAAGGGCTGCCAGGTGAAAATTAGCATGTTAATGAGAGATTAGCATGTTAATGAGAGGTTAGCATGTTAATTGGAGATTAGCACGTTAATGAGAGTTTAGCATGTTAATGGCGGATTAGCATGTTAATGTGAGATTAGCGTGTTAATGAGAGATTAGCATGTTAATGATATATCAGTATGTTAATAGAGATTAGCACGTTAACGGGAGATCGCAGCGCTGTGCTAGTGTGAACCCTGTGAAAGCGCAAGTTTGAAATGGGCGTAAAGCACAACTAATATCGGAAGGTGGTAGGCTGGTAACATCACAGCCAGTTATGACTTAAACTGATAACGTCCTTCCTACTGATAACGTACTTACAATGATTGCTCAGTTTGTACCCAGTCATCATAGACAAAACCAAATACAATAACAAAATTAAAATAGATCCCACCAACAACCTCGTTACAAAAATCAACAAGATCATCACCGATTCGACATCCTTAATCGAACCGACTAAGCGGGTTTCCTTTAAACCCTCTGCTGCTAGACCACCCAGATTGTATGGCTTACCAAAAATCCATAAAGAGGGTACACCCCTTCGTCCTATCGTCTCCACCATTGACTCACCCACCTACAAACTGGCCCGATTTCTGTCGGAGACCTTACAACCATTCACTGGTAAGAGCACCTCAGCTGTACTTAGCTCACTTGGTATCGTTAATTAAAGACATCTCCCTATCTCCAGGTGATTTGCTCGTTAGTTTCGATGTAGTCTCTTTGTTTACCAAAGTTCCTGTGCCTGACACCATTGCAATCATTGAAGGTTTGGTCCAACAAGGACTTAATGCTGATGTACCGGCCCTGGTCAGACACTGCCTCACTAACACTTACTTCACTTGGAATGGAATATTCTACAAACAAGTTGAAGGAACCCCAATGGGTTCTCCCTTATCTCCAGTTGTAGCCAATATTTTCAATTTGAGACAGATGCTATCCAGGCATCCACTCTACGTCCATCCTTGTGGAAGAGGTACGTAGATGACACATTCGTCATCTGGCCACATGGCCGACCAGCTCTGAACCAATTCCTCAACCACATCAACTCCATACACCCAGTCATCAAATTCACCATGGAGGTAGAAACGGATGGCAAGCTACCATTCTTGGATGTTTTAATCGAAAGGAGACCAGATGACTCAATGGGACACTCTGTCTACAGGAAAGCCACCCATACGGATGCATATCTAAAACCTGGCTCCCACCACCATCCTTCCCAGAAGAATTCCCTCATCAAAACTCAACACCATAGAGCTCGATGTATTTCCAACCATCATCACCTAGTCAGTGAACTGGAACACGTACACCAAGCTCTCAAGATTAATGAATATTCAGACCACGCAATCCATATCACCCCAACCGTTGGGAAAGAACCATCTGAGGACCTAATGAAAATCATCACCTTGCCATACATAGCAGGGGTCACCAAAAAGATTTCCAAAATCATGAGCAAACACAAGATCCAGGTTCAATTTAACACAGTACATAAAATTTGTGATCTGATCCTATCTGTGAAGGATGTGATCCCTGACATGCAATACCCCAACATCTACAAATTAAGCTGTGTCTGCGGCAGTAGTTAAATTGGGGAAACTAAGCGACATGTCTCGGACCGTGTTCGTGAACATAAGGCAGATCTGAAACACGGTAGGACCAATACCTCGGCCATGGCTGATCATTGTTTTAATGCGGTGGGCTCATGCAAAATTGATTTCTCTAAGACGAAGGTACTTTGCAAGCCCACTGGCTATCAACAAAGATTCGTTCATGAAGCCATCCATATATATATAGACACAGACACAATTTCAATCGAGAAGATGGGTATAAACTGAGCAATCATTGGAAGGACGTTATCAACCAGTTTAAGTCATAACTGGCTGTGATGTTGCCATCCTACCACCTTCCGATGTTGTTATTTTCGGCTCTCTGATTTTACATTAACAGGTTAAATTTCTCACCCTAACGCAGCCACCTCGCTCACCGAGCTCGACGTTTTTTGCTTTGCGATCTTCCATTGACATGATAATCTCTCACATTAACATGTTAATCTCTCACATTAACATGCTAATCTCTCATTAACATAGCCACCTCAGGGCGCCCGCCGTGGAGGCCGCTCAACGATCTTATATTATCATGCTAATTTTTACTGGGCAGCCCTTTGATTGGTGGGCAAACCCACCACCGTCGCTGGCCACTACTTTACATTAACATTGGCTGCTGACAATTGGGCTACGCCCATTTCAAAACTTTATATATAGTTTACCTTTAGAAACTGACCCTGTCTTCCTGATGACCAATGCTTGTGTTGCGATCGAAACTTCGTAGTTTTTTAAATTATTTTCTTTTAACCTATCTACATGACTTTACCGAAAGACCAAAAGAATATGAATTCCTGCAGTCACGAAAGCTTTAAGTCAATTTTTCCCCTTTCCCAATTAGTACGGCTTCGAGAGGTTTTATATGGCCTCGATTTTTCCTTCTTACGTGTGCGATGAAGAAGGGTCATTGCCTGGAACGTCACCTGCTATATATGTAAAAGGCCACACACACTTATTGACTAACGCGTTGAGATGTGACTTTGTAGGTATTTACCAGATGTAAAACAAATGAACAATCTCCCATCTGACATCCGCACTCATTCCAATAGTCAGAACTTCACTCTACCAAAGACCAAGATCCTCCGTGTAGCCTACACAGGCTGGCGGGGCAAGTGCTATTAAGCGAGTAACACCTATCAAGGACTGGCACGGCACACCACGAGTGGGGCCGTGGTGGCCAACCTCACGCCCGGCCGCCTTTGTCTCCCCAGTTACTCGACCTTTTTACGCACCGTCCCAAAGTCCTCATTTACGGCTGAGTAGAATCAAATGTTAGGTCTAGGCAGAGTCTAGGCAGTGGCAGCGCGGCGCTAACCACTGCGCCACCGCTCCCCTTACCGGTCGTCCCCACCCCCCCGTCAGGGTGAGCAGATGGTAGAGTCCGCTCTTTGTGCCGCCCGCATTGGGGCCGCGCCACTCCGGGCCCTACGACTCTCGCGCGGAACTCTGCGCCGCGCTCTTGAGGAGTCGATTTATTGTCGTTTGTTGTTGTTGTTTTTGTCGTCGTTCCCCCCCCCACATTCCTGAACACCTTCCTTCGTTCATCATCTCATCCGTCGTTCACTTCATGCCGAGCAGCTCCGGTAGCGACACGATGTCCCAGGAAGAACGCGTGCGGGTCAAGGCGTATTACAACGGGTGAGCTGTTACTACTGCTGCTACATCTGCTATTACTACCCTGCTGCTGCTGTTACTACTGCTGTTACTACTGCTGCTGTCACTACTGCTGCTGCTGTTACTACCCTGCTGCTGTCACTACTACTGCTGCTGTTACTACTGCTACTGGTGCTGTTACTACTGGTGCTGTCACTACTACTGCTGCTGTTACTACTGGTGTTGGTACTACTACTGCTGTTACTACCCTGCTGCTGTTACTACCCTGCTGCTGTTACTACCCTGCTGCTGTTACTACCCTGCTGCTGCTACTACTGGTTCTGTTACTACTGCTGCTACTGCTGTCACTACTGCTGCTGCTGTTACTACTGGTGCTGTTACTACCCTGCTGCTGTCACTACTACTGCTGTTACTACTGCTGCTGTTACTACTGCTGCTGTTACTACTACTGCTGTGACTACCCTGCTGCTGCTACTACTGCTGCTGTTACTACCCTGCTGCTGATGTTACTACTACTGCTGCTGTTACTACTACTGCTGCTTCTGTTACTACTGCTGCTGTTACTACTACTGCTGCTGTCACTACTGCTGCTGTTACTACCCTGCTGCTGCTGTCACTACTACTGCTGCTGTTACTACTGCTGCTACTGCTGTTACTACTGCTGTTACTACCCTGCTGCTGTTACTACTACTACTGCTGTCACTACTGCTGTTACTACTGCTGCTGCTGCTGCTACTACTACTACTGCTGTTACTACTGCTGCTACTGCTGTTACTACTGCTGCTGCTACCCTGCTGCTGCTGTTACTACCCTGCTGCTGCTGTTACTACTGATGCTGCTGTTACTACTGCTGGTGCTACTGCCACCAGCGAGAGTTGAAGTTCAGTACCATCATCGCCATCATTACCATCGTCACCACCATCATTACCATCATCACCACCATCACCACCATCATAATGACCACCACCATCATTACCATCATCATCACCATCATCACCATCATTACCATCATCATCACCATCATTGCCATCATCACCATCATTACCATCATCACCACCATCATAATGACCACCACGATCATTACCATCATCATCACCATCATTACCATCATCACCATCATTACCATCATCATCACCATCATTACCATCATCACCACCATCATAATGACCACCACCATCATTACCATCATCATCACCATCATCACCACCATCACCACCATCATAATGACCACCATCATTACCATCATCACTATCATCACCATCATTACCATCATTACCATCATCACCATCATTACCATCATCATCACCATCATTACCATCATCACCACCATCATAATGACCACCACGATCATTACCATCATCATCACCATCATTACCATCATCACCATCATTACCATCATCATCACCATCATTACCATCATCATCACCATCATTACCATCATCATCACCATCATTACCATCATCACCACCATCATAATGACCACCACTATCATTACCATCATCATCACCATCATCACCATCATTACCATCATCACCACCATCATAATGACCACCACCATCATTACCATCATCATCACCATCATTACCATCACGTTCATCACCACCATCAATACCATCAACATCATCGCCGCCGCAGGGGTGTAAATGGAGTACCAATTCTGTCGTGTAAGAAGAAAAACACAATAATCTGTGGGCAGTCCCCCAGGTTGTTGTGGATTTACGCTTACCCGCCGCGAGAATGTGGAATTTACGTTTATTATTGGTGGCAGAGAGAGAGAGACGGGTACTGTGATTGTTTAACCACGCGAATGACCGCCCGCCTGCCTGCCGCTAGCCCATCATCACTTCCGGGGTGGTTAAATTCCGAGAACCCCTCTGTGAGGACTTGAGCGTGTGCTGTTGTTTGAAGGACTTGAGTCCCGCCGCGAGAATGTGGAATGGCCATCTCACTAAGAGCCTGGTAGAGAGCACGCGCGCCCATCATCACTCTTCCGGGGTTCGGGGTCATTAAATCGAGGACTGTACTGTACTCTTTTGTGAGGAAAATCAACAGCTATTGGGTTCGTCTTGCGGATGTACCTGTCCTCGCCGCGAGAATGTGGAATGACCCATCCATTCAGCTTGGAGACAGCGGTCGTGTAACGCGTGCCCATCATCTCTTGCGGGGCCCAGGGGTGGTTAAAACGAGTACTGTACCAACATCTGCACGGAAGTCGGCGGTCTTTCTTTGTCACGGTAGAGTTCGTCCTCGGCACGGGAATGTGGAATGGCAACACTGGGCCCGGGGGCTGTACACACATGCGAGACGGAACTGCAAGAGACGCAACGAGTGGCGGTCCCGTTGAGTTCCGGTGGCTATGAGATGTTAACTACCTCGCCTGGTACGCAGGAGGTCGTGGGTTCGACCCCGACCCTGGCGCCTGCTGCTGCTGCTGTATATTTGGAGTTTGCAGTGTCTCTCTCTCTCTCTCATCATCATCACGGTGGCTAGGAGATGTTAACTACCTCGCCTGGTATGGAGGAGGTCGTGGGTTCCATCCCGACCTTGATGCCTGCTGCTGTATATTTGGAGTTTGCAGTGTCTCTCTCTCTCTCATCATCATCACGGTGGCTAGGAGATGTTAATTTCCTCGCCTGGTATGCAGGAGGACGTGGGTTCAATCCCGACCCTGATGCCTGCTGCTGTATATTTGTAGTTTGCGGTGTCTCATCATCATCACGGTGGCTAGGGGATGTTGATTACCTCCCCTGGTACGCAGGAGGTCGTGGGTTCCATCCAAACCCGACGCCTGCTGCTGCTGTATATTTGGAGTTTGCGTGGTCTTTCTCTCATCATCATCATCACGGTGGATATGAGATGTTAACTACCTCGCCTGGTACGCAGGAGGTCCAGGGTTCGATCCCGACCCTGACGCCTGCTGCTGCTGTATATTTGGAGTCTTCGTGTCTCTCTACCCGTGGTCGCGTGGATTTTTCTCCGGGGCCTCCAGTTTTCTCCTCCACATGTAGCAATCAACGTCACGCGTTTAGAGTATTTGGCTGCTATACATTTCCACGTGATAAGCCACTTGGTTGGGATATCGTTTGTGATGACCAGGTCGCTTCTGAAAAAGAGCTTCACAGTTCATTGGGCCTCATGTCATACCTGGTAAGATTAAAAAATAGTTTAGTTTAGAGTTGCAGGGGCATGCAGAAAGTTGGCTCTGGGAGCTTCATGGCAGGATCGACAGGTAAGCGAATTAGGAGGTAGTGATGGGTGGGACACGTGGTGTGGAGAGTGGAGGAGGATGGGGTAAGCGACTTGGAGGTAGTGATGGGTGGGACACGTGGTGTGGAGAGTGGAGGAGGATGGGGTAATCGACTTGGAGGTAGTGATGGGTGGGACACGTGGTGTGGAGAGTGGAGGAGGATGGGGTAATCGACTTGGAGGTAGTGATGGGTGGGACACGTGGTGTGGAGAGTGGAGGAGGATGGGGTAAGCGACTTGGAGGTAGTGATGGGTGGGACACGTGGTGTGGAGAGTGGAAGAGGATGGGGTAAGCTACTGGGAGGTAGTGATGGGTGGGACACGTGGTGTGGAGAATTTTAGGAGGATGGGGTAAGCGACTTGGAGGCTGTGATGAGTGGGACACGTGGTGTGGAGAGTGGAGGAGGATTGGATAAGCAACGTGGAGGTTGCAAAGAGAACTGGGCAGGATAGTGGTGTTCGTGTTTATTGTTATGGGTGTGGGACACGTGGTACCGTGGATGTTTCACAAAATGATGGTGAATACACGGCTCTTGAGCAATACACTGCTGGATGAAGGCCCCCTGCCCCGCACCCTACTGGTTGGCCATAGGGGTCGTTTGGCCTTACTTAACGCTGGCCGGTTAGCGTTTTGACCAGGCGGTAGTAGAATCTGGGTGTCGACTTGAGCTCGAACCTGTAACCTGTACAGTTCGCGGGATAATTAATTGTGGTTACCTCGCCCGTCTTGCCATGATAAATACAAAACACGGCACGATCGTTCGCACAAGTAACCGATACGCCCCCTTCACGTATCCGTCTCTCAATATAAAATATAACAATATGATTTACAATATTCCATCAGCCCCACACGGCCTTCTGGGAGCGGAGCTTGACTGCAAGCAACACTGTTGATCAGTTGCGACTGTCGGTGTGTCATCTGTGACTATTTTGAGTTGTGTCATGACGTGATTCTGCATAGAACCTGGGACCCCGTATCTCAAAGCAGTGGTTCTTTTTAAATCTGGGGTGCACGCACCACCTGGGGTCACGAGACATGGCCAGGTTGCTTTAGAAGGTAAATCATCGAAGCACAAATTAATCACGTGCACGTAAGTACAGCTACTTTGTTTCATCAAACCTATGTACTGTATTTATTAACATCGTACAATTTTTTACGATTGAGAACCAAGTAAAGGTTAAGAACCACAGGAGTATAAATATATCACGGTCCTTGCCTACAAACATCTGTGGCAGTTCACAAGCATTGCTTTCATGCTAGGCCTGGCTCTGCTGATGATAATGAAACACTAAATGTCAAAACCAGGCCTGAGTTTATGCTTGTTATCTTACCAATGCTGCTCACAATTCTGCACTCTCACAAGGTCACGGGACTGATGGGATGTGTAAAACAATGTTTTTATTTAGTACGTAGAGATAGACAAGTGATGGGAGGCATTGTCTTTGGTCGTGTTGGCCTTGGGTGCGTACGTTGTTGGATATATTGTTTAACTTTATAATTTGCTGTATTGGCTTGGGTTTTATTTAATTTCCCTGGATTTTTTACCCTCTGTTGAATGCACACCTTGTTTGATTTGCCTTGTTGGTTTGAATGGGTGAGAGAGTTGAAGAGTTTGTGACTGGAGTTGATGATTACATTAAGTTAAACAATTTCCGGCTCATGGCTCCGTTTGGGTGGCATAGCCCAGTGCATGTCTATCTTCGAGCGCTAGTCCCGTCTCTAGCACCACAAGAAGCCCAGTTGTTGTACCGAATTCAGACTGAAGCACGTGGGGTCT